ATGATGATATATATGAAATTAATTTTGGAAAGTTGGGTAAAATAGAGGAAATGAAAAAAATTGAAGCAGTGGTTAAGTCTTTGGATAGGGGCCATATCTCAAGAGAAGCTTATCGATCTCTGGCACGAATTGAAGATCTTCCACGTGAAAATGTAATATGTGATTTCCGACAAAAAATCAATGCAGAAATGAAAAAAAAAGTTCCAATGACTCTAGTTGATTTGTTACAACCAACTGCATTTGAACCAATTACAGGAAATCCAGATATTACTGATAGTACAATTATTATGAATATGTTGGAATCAATTGGCAAAGGAGGACAGCGCCGTATAACAGATATTTTAAATTACATTATACCATTATATATTGAAAAAGGAATTTTAATTCCTAGAAGATCAACTTTATATATTCGAATTTCAGGAGATGGTCGTAATGTGGGACGCAAAGTAAAACACGTCATGATAACAATGACATTATTAAATGATCTAAATGGATTACAGAAACCAGATAATCACTACACATTAGTTTTATATCCAGGTGCTGAAACATATGATTCTCTTAGAAATGCACTAGCTCCTTTAATTTCTGATTTAAATGTATTAAAAGAGAGAGGTTTTTATCAAATAGGTGGTAATCATTGGCCAGTAGAATTGTATTTCAGTTTTGATTGGAAATTTTTGGCAATTTTTTTGGGAATGAAAGCTGCTAACGTACAATACTTTTGTCCTTGGTGTGATTGTAGCAAAAATGATATTATTACTACGTCAAAAACAATTAACAAATCAATGGATGATATTAAAATTAATTACAAACAAATAAATGGCCACATCAAAGAACCATTATTTTATATGATACCACTACAAAATTGGGTAGTTGATGAATTGCATATTTTTTTGCGGATAACAGATAGATTGTGGGAGCTAATGATTTCTGATCTTCGCCATGAAACTGCAGATGAAGAAATTTGGAAAGCCAAAATTTTATTGGAAATGCAGAGGCTTAACATATCATTTCAATTTTGGCATGAAAAAAATACCAATAATTTATTATACACTTCGCTGATGGGTCCAGACAAATTAAAAATCCTCAAAGGATTTGATCTTTTTGCTGTTTTTCAATCAATAACGAGAGCTATACAAATTCGTGCTTTGTGGGATCAATTTAATGAACTATATCATTTAATGCAAGACAAGAAAACAACAGGCAAATTTTTTCGTTATAAGGCCAAATCTTGGTTAGATGCATTTACAGCTCCTTCTACAGGACATCCAAATAGAAGTAATTTTGTTAGAGGTATGTATCGTGTCCAAGATATAACACCATACATTCATGTTTTATGTAATCATGCCGCAGAGTTTCTTGAAATCCATCATGAGTTTGGATTGGCTGCATTTTTATGTTCACCAGTAGAAAAAATGAACCATATGCAGGTGTGCCTTTATTTTCAAAATACATTGAAAGATGGGGGGAATAAAAATTCACTAAAATCAGCTATCTTAGAAATGCTAGAGTATGAAAATCGGCAATTATATTTTGCATCAAATAAAGTTCCTAATTTTCTAAAAAAATCCAAAAAATATAGGTTACAATAATAGGATTTTATTTGTTTGACAATAAAAAAGAAAAAAATTTTTTCGGGATCAAGTAATTTTTATTATGGGCAATTGAACTAATACTATATCTATGTAATTTTTTTTCAATTGATAATAGTTCATTCCATCGTTATCATAATAAAAACCTAATTACATAAGTTTATAAAATTTTCTTTAAATTTGACATTGGTCTAAAAAAAAATGAAATTGAGCTAAATCCGCTTCAAATTTATGGTTCTCTTTGTCTCTACCTCCCGTCACCTTTCATTTAACGGTCATTTCTCCATTATAAACTAATTTTGATTTTAATTTTTTTGCATTTTGATCATAACTGTTATTTTCACTTTCAGGCATATACAAACGAACAAAATTCAATTGTCCTCCTCCATAATTGCGCTCACCCCAATTTTTGTCATCTAAGACTTTTCCAACTTCATCAAAGGCCTTTTCTCCCTTAAAGATACATAAATAAGAAGACCCACATAGAGAGTAACGCGTTATATGGTTTCTAAAAATACCAACGAAGGCATCTTCACTACAATGTATCGAAAATACTTGTTTCCCAACAGCAGTATGATGGTTTTTAAGACGTTTTTGTAATTCTTTAATTATAGCTTTTTTCAAGTGTGAAAGCTCGGATTCTGAAACTGGTTGAATATGTGAAGGAAGTGTATTGTAAGATACATTTTTTAATGTTTCGTGTCTTTGTAGACCTGAGCGATTTTTGAACCCTTTAACACGCCTTTTGCAGATTGAACAATATAACCTAGTTGAATCTCGGGTAGACATTACTTAAAAAAAATAAAATTCTATAAGTAAACGAATAACTAAAAAAAAAGTAGAGAAAACTAACAATTTCAGTAAGTTTTATAAAAAAATTACGCCGGTTTTATGCTGAAGTATATACCGAAGTTAGTTGGATGGGTTGTATAGTGGTTAGATGGGTTGAACGCGTATTTTTCATTAAGTTATTTTTGTTTTACGATTAGTTGAATGGAAAATTTTTTTTATTAACTGGTCTTTATAATCATATGACATAAAAACACATGAATGCCGATCATATTAGTATTACGTAAAGGACCGCTAAAGGCAACTTTGTCAATTAAATTCAAATGAACTAAATTCGCGCATATGATATCTCTTTTTATTTTTATTTGCTTATTATTTACTTTATTTAGAAATAAAGTTAAAGTCTAAAGTTGTCTATCCCATAAAAAGTATTTATACTTAAAATATACTTAAAATTTATTAAAATATACTTAAAATTTTATTAAAATATACTTAAAATAAGTATTAATTTTAATTTGTGATGTGGATCCTGTGAATGCCTTGTGTAGAAAAAGGGGCATTTATGCTAAAAATGGCTGTTTCTAAACGAATTATACTCTCTAAGCAAAAATTTCACCCAATAGTGCACACATGAGGTGCTCTATAGCATGACAAGTGGTTTGGTAATTAATAATATTAGATAGTTAGATTAAGTTTTATTTACTTTATGTATTTTCTGATTCTTTTTGCTGTTTAATAAACTATCAAATGCATTGCAGAAAAAAAAAAAAAAATTTTATACTTATATCAGTAAATTTTTTGGAGTGCGGATCCTTAGGGATTCCAAAAATCCTGTAATTAGTAAGGATCCCTAAGGAATCTTCCCCACCAGCGAGGATTCCCTATCAAAAGAATTCTATAGAATCCTTAAAGATCCTAAATTTACTAATAAGAAATCCTCAAGGATATTTTATTTACAGTCCCCGGCGAAAAGAATGGCGGTCAATTTTTTAATAATATATGCAAATTGTAATAATAAATCATTAAAATATTTTTTTATATTCTGAAAGATGGACAAAAAATACATATATTTTATTATTAAATTAATATTTGGTATGGCCTCCATTTGCATCAATACATGCTTTAATACGATGTGGCATGCTTTTAACGCAATTAATAATTACGGTATTATCAAGATCGTCCCATTCCTTCCTAATTAAGTCAAGAAAATTATTTTTCGAAATATTTTTTTTGTGCGACCATACTCTTGACCTTTTTCTCAACATTTTTCTTTAAAACAGCCCACACATTCTCAATGGGGTTGAGATCTGGGCTGTATGAAGGCCAAGGAAGGATCCGACCTGGAAGGTGAGCTCTCAAATCATTTTGAACATCACGGGAAGTGTGTTTCAGGTCATTATCTTGTTGAAAGACCCATCGACTACTATGTACTTCATTTGCATTATCATATAAATGCTCATTCAAAATTCGAAGGTATAAATGACGATCCAAATTTTCAGTGAACATGTGCATGGCGATTTTTCCCTTAATGCTGATTGCACCCCAAACATGAACTTTAAATGGATGTTTTACCATCGGAGCAATTGGTTTTGCATCACGTGACCATGCAGGAAGGGTGTTACAAAACATTTGGAGTGTAGTTTCATCGGAAAAAACTACTTTTTTCTAATTAAAGTTCACATGTTCATTGGCCCACACCAATCGGTTCTCTTTTGCTTTTTGTGTCAAAAGAGGAACCCTTCTAGGGAGAACAGAAGCAAATCCAAGGTTTTTAAGCTCACGACGTATGGTACGTTCACTAACCTCAAGCTCAGGATTTTTTTCTTCAAGTTGGGCTTTCATTTCACCTGCTATAGTGAAATGATTGCGTTTGACGATCTTCCCAATATGGCGGCATTTTCTGGGGGTTAATTTTCGTGGTCGACCAGAGGACTGATGTACAATAATCTTACCATTTTTTTTAAGGAACTGACATATCGTTCACAGGAGCGTAGGGAAACTCCTGTTATTTGTGAAATTTCTCTTGCATTTCGGATATTTTGCCCCCAGAGAAGATTAACAGCATTTCTGTTTTTTTCAAAGGTGGTTAATGTCATTTTGAGAGGAAAAACATCAAGAAAGTTACTTTTTTCATTTATTTTTTTTCTTGTTATTTTTAAGGTATATGTCACTGACCAATTTGGAAACAATTAATAAATTCCAAATCGGGAAAATGGCCATGTTACAGTTCAAAAAAGAAGTAATATTCCCACCGCCATTCTTTTCGCCGGGAACTGTATCATATTTATCTGTTATTATATTGGCCAATTTTAATTATTTTATTTATTATTATTAATATGTTTATTTATTATTTCCCATATATTATTACATGTCCTTTCTAAGCTAATTAATCAAGAGGACCCTGGATATCTCCAAAACAGGTCATAAGTCACACTTTCGGCAGATTGGCCCATTTTTCAGGGCTCAAAAAATCGTTTTTTGTAAATATCTCGGCATCCAGTGGTCCAATTTTGATGAACTTTTTTTAAATTGTAGAGCTAAATGAGGCTACAAAATAAAAAAAGTTCATTAAAATTGAATTACTGGATGCTGAGATATTTACAAAAAACGATTTTTTGAGTTTCAGCAAAAAGGGGTGTTTTTGGCCAAAAGTCCATTATGACCTTTATATTAGATATCCGGGGTCCTTAATCAAGAATATTAAATAAAACCGGTTTCCTTAATAAAATACTAAGACCCATCTAATTATAGTAATTTTTAAAATTATTATTAAAAGTTATGATGTATAGAATGATATTGTCCTCTTATAGAAATGTTCAAAGATTTGTTTTACATTTTTACCCTTAAAAAAAGAAAATAATAAATTGTTAGTAAATTACGTTATAATAAAAAAGAACAATAAAAATAAAAAAAAATTTTTTAGTTTTTTATTTAATTTGACGAACATTACTAATTGTTCATTTTTTAACAGGTTTTTGAGTTTTTATATTAGATGTGGCAATGTGGAATGCCAGTAAGTAAAAGAAAATGTTTTTAATTTTTTTTTATATTAATAAACATTACTAATTGTTTATTTTTTATTTTTTTAGGTTAATGAAAAGCTAGAACAATGCGAAGATTTACACACATACCTAAAAAATAAGAAACGACAATTAGAAATGTTCGTTAAAGTAAAAAATCTTTAGCTTTTTTACTTACTATGCTTCTATATCTAGAGATTTAAAAAAATTCTTAAAAAAAAGAAAGAAAAATAAACAGTTAGTAATGTTCGTTAAAATAAACAAAAAAAAACATTTTTCACTTACTATTTAATATTTCAGATTCAGAGACTCAAAAACCACCTAAAAAGAAAACCGAACAGTTCATATCGGCGAATTTGATTCATCATCAAAATACGTTGAATTTTATAGTAACAAAGATGCAGCAAAAATAGAATATGTAATACAATAATCTGATAAGTATATTTGACTTTTAAAAAATACAGTTTGGTTCGATTTAAAATTTGGCCGGAATTAGCGTAATTTTGGCTAAAATTAACATTATATTAAAATATGAAGATTTTAAATTAATAAAAAATAAATTTCTAGCGGCTACTTTAAGATTATCGCTATAATCGTTGCAATGTAATAATTACTTTAACCACGTATATTACTAGTTTAACTTTACATACGCTTTTAAATTTAATTAGTAAATAATGCATTCATGACGTAAATTACTATTAGATAAAAGATAATAATGTATTTTTGTTGATTGACATGTAGTTAATTATGAGGTGTTTTGTTAAACTAAATTTTTTTACTCAACAATGATTTCACACTAATTGTAAACTTGCTATATAAGATAAACAATAAGAAAGCAGCGAAATATATCCTTCCCTTTAAGGTACGATCTGGATGAATCTGATCAATCCATTAGCTGGATAATCAATGATCAGGATTATCCAGATTAAAAAATTCCCTTTAAATGCCTTTCAAAAGCTGTTCCATTAATACTGGAGGACTCCCTCTCTATAAAGAAAAAAAAAATAAAGAGGTGTTAGTAACTTTTACTAATGTCCCTAATTAAAAAAAATCTGCCATCTTTACCTTTAAAGTACCAAAGGCAGTTCCAAAGGTTCTGACAGATAATCCAGTTAATCTTGATGATTTGGATCACACCTCTATGATGACCCAATACAACATCCCAAGATCTCTGAATCTGTCATTGACAAATTCTAACCGAAATTCCATGCTTCAGAACCATCTAAAAAAAAAGAATGAATGAAACGTTAATGAGAGTTTCATTAAAAGGTAGTTCAAAGAAAAGAAATGTGGAGCCTACAAATAAAAAAAATACCTTAATATATTATTTTCTTTGAAGACGTCTTCAAAAGCTTCTCTAGGGTTCCGATGTGATACCATTCCTACAAAATATAAAAAAAGTTAAAAAAATGTTTTTAAATAGTTTAAAAAAGCGAAATGTAGTAATCATTCGTCAAAACTCTCCCTCACCAAATTTCCGTGTGTCCAAGAGCCTGAAAATTTACCTAAAAAAGGAAAAAATCTGTTAGTTAATAGTTCGTAAATAAACAAGTTGAAGAAAATATCACACACCATTACACACGTCTAAGAAATCCAAAGGACCGCATAAAAAAGGAAAAAAAAGGAATTGTTAGTTAAAATTTTGTTAAAATTATAAAGAAAAAAGTACTGGAACTTACGAATTCCTAAGAACAAGCCGTTTGAAACCTAAAGAAAGGAAATAAATGAACAAAATGAACATTAGTAAAAGAAAATGAAACTAAAAAAATAATGAAAAAAATCGAACATTAACCTTTATTTCCAAAGAGAACCGTCAAGCTTAAAAAAGAAAAATCGCCAGCACCTAAAAAAAGAAGAGCCAAAGAAAGGATAAATTAGTAAAGAAAATGACAGTAAAATAAAAAAAGTGAAAGAATACCAACCTCTATTTCCGCAAAGAGAGCCACAGAAATCTAAGAAAAAGTACTAGAACCTAAAAAAATGAAAAAGCAAGATGAAAATTAGTAATGAAATGAAAAGAAACAAAAAAGAAAAAAAAAATAACCTCAAGAGAACAGCAAACCTAGAAAAATCCGAAAAAAAAACCTGCCAAAAACTATAAGAGAAAAAAAGACAAAATCTACAAAAAAGAAAGGCAAAAGTTAATAACAAGGCAAAAGAAAACAAGACAGAAGGAAACAAAAAAAAAAAGGACACCACCCATATTTCAAAAGGGAATCGGCAACATCTAAAAGAAATGAAAAAACTGGAAAAAAAGAACTGTTAGTAAAGTATGTTAAAATAAAATACAAAAAATAGAAATTAACCTTACCAGAATCATATCCAAAGAGAACCACCCAGATAAAGGAAAGTAAACGAACTGTTGGAAATCATTTGTTAAACAAAAATAATTTAAGAAAAAATAAAAATAAAACCAAAATTTTGCGTCTAAGGAAAAGGAAACCGAAAGAACCACCTAAAAAAATATACAATTCGAAATGCTAGAAACCCCCTTGTCCAACTAAGCATAAAATTCTGGGAAATTACTCACCATATAAATAGTATACTAGGAGCTCATGATGACTTCTGATAGTAAGATCATGTTATTTTTTTTTTAATAGCTTTTGTAATTTCAATATTTTTGAATTTGCTAAACTTTTCTTGAACTACTTCGGCAAACTTTAATTTATTAAAGAGAAATGGCAAATACAAGGTCTCCAGGTCTATTTCCTATAAAGAAAAGAATACTTAATAAAAATATTCCCTAGAAACTTACTGAGGCGTATATATAATATACACTTTTCAGGTTATCTGTTCTTACAAAATAAAAATTTTTTTTTTTTTTTTTTTTAACTATGTAACGAATTCTTCAGATCGATTGCTGCATCTCAGATTACAATTGTCAGTATATAAATAGATTGAATAATAAGGCTAAGTTTTCAATTTGGGAAATGATCATCAGGCTTATAACTAAATTTGGATTGAATACAGGTTTTTATCTTGATTTAATAGCATAACAAATTTTGATCTGACAGTGAGTCAGTGACGCATCTTTTTTAATCACATTTTTTTTAGGGTTCACCTGTTAACGTTTATAAGTGTAATAAATACTATGTTAACAGTTATAATAAAAAAAAATAAAATAAAAAAAAATAATTAAAGACTAACCACGTAATTATATATTTTTGACGCGTTATAACTTATAACATTATGAACATTATGTAACTATACTTTTGCCGTTTGCGTCATTTGTAGTCGCACAATTTGAAATTGTTATTTATGTGGATTAGTCTAAACATAACGTGTTACACAGCAGTTTTTAAATATTAGCAGTTAGCGTTAGATAAATATTTTTTTTTTTATTATTAAATCTTTTTCAAATAATTTTTTTTTATTTTATTTCTCTCACACTTTTTAATATATTCATTTTTTATTTTTGTAAATCATTCACGTTTAACGATCTAGTATAATTACATAAAACATAAATTATGAAAGAAGAAGGCACTTATCCTAAAAGTTCATTTATAAAACTTTTTGATAATAAAAGAACCTATTTTTACGAGATAATAAAAGAGGGAACATATCCTCTTACAGAACAACTTCATTATACCAGGAATCCTAAACATCCAATTCCTCATAATTATGTTGTCAAGACCCAATATGGAAAAGCAATTTATACAGTTGAATGTTCAATTGAATATGTGGAAAAAAAACCTTTATACAAAATTTGCTTTGGAGTTAATTTTTCAAGAGAAGTACATTCCTGGGAGACATCTACAGATGCTGCCTGCAAGTATTATCAGGTACATTTATTTTTTAAAAATATTTTTTATTGTTGAAATTAATATTAACTATTTATTCTATTAGGAGTTTAATGTAATGAAAGAAATGGAGAAAAATCTAAATAGGTACCAGTCAAATAAAGAAAATAAAGGAAAAATATCTGGTTCTTTACTTTTTGGTCTCAAGTTACTTAGTGTTGAACGAGTGCGTAGAACAATGTCTCTAGATCTTAAAATTCGGCCATTTATTGATCTTGGTAATTCTCAAAAACGTCGCAGAATACTTGGATTATCACAGAGTATTTTAGATATTGTTGAAAGAGAAAGAGACAATACATTTCATCCAGATGATCAAGTAAAACTTATTAATATTC